CCTCTCAGCTCTACCAGTCCTGTCCTTCCCTGGCCTGGGATTGCCACCCCAGCTGGTCATCCAGCTGCTGCTGCCTGCCCCCTGTCCCAGATCCTTGTGTCATTGACAGCAAAAGAAGAAGGCCAAAGCACCAGGGGCTTGTTGTCCATCAGGGCAGGGCCTGATTAGCTGGGCTTCTCTAGGCTGGACGAAGAGTTCTCTGAGGACATGAGGATGGACAGGGTACCTGATCTAAGGGCACTTGCTGGTTCTCAGGCAGCTCTGCCCAGGAGTCCTCTGGACCCCAAGCCACCAGCATGCTAAGCCTCACAGGCTCAGGAAGGCCACCCGCACGTGCTGCTGTGTGTGGGGAAAGATTCAGAGGACCCGTGTCCTCCCCTGAGCACTTGGAGCTGCCCACACTCCCAGGTGTGTCTCTGCCATTCCTGGAATGTGAATGACCAGGTCCCTGTCTTTGGAACCGAAGAAAGAGATACCCTATAGCCAGGTTGTAATGAAACAAAAGGAAAGAAGAGAACCCACCAGAATGTTCTGAAGTTCAGGAAAAGAAAGATCTATAGAAAAGACTCTTGGGGAAGGTGGCATGAAGGAGGCAGTCCCTGGGCACAGAGGGATGGACAGGGATCTTCAGTGGAGTGTGGGGTGGGTGACACCGCCACTTCTGCTGTAGATAAGGGAGTCTTGGGGCGGGCCTCTGGTCTCTGCTGGGTGAGGATTGTACTGAGGCTGGAGTGAGGAATGCAGAGGGTATTGGGGGACAGTGGGGCTGGCAAATGGGAGACTCTCCCTATGGTGGCAGGCTGGGTGGCTCAGAGAGAGAGAGACAGAGAGAGAGAGAGAAAGAGATCAGCTACAGCTGTGAGGGGCCTCCGTGGGTACAGGAGAACCCTGAAATCTAAAATACATGAGCGCTCAGGTGGAGTCATCATAGCCCCCTCCACATACCCCATCCGAGAGTCTAGCTGTGCCCAGTGGCCTATGGGTGGGTAGGCCCATACTTTTCTAACTTTAGCCTGGAACTTCCCTGGAGGGTGAGTGGCTGGGGAGAGGTTGGGGAGGAGGGTTGGCAGTTCTGGCATGTTAGCCACTAGGCCTTGGCCCCTCCCTGCCTAGGACCCTGAGTCCAGTCCTTCCCTGGGTCTGGATCCCCAGCCCCCAGCCTAGTGAGGTCAGGGAACACATATTCCAGGAATGCAGGAGGCAGGGCAGCAGCCAATTTGGATAAGGTTTGGATAACCATCAGTGGTAAATATTTGCCTGGCTCCTGCAGCCAGCCCTGGCCTCTACGGGAGGACAGGAGTCTGTTCCTAGGGTCATGTCAGAGGATATATGACCAGGTGGGTGGGCTCTAAGCTGAGGAGACCTGGTCCCTTGGAGAGTTGTTATGGGGTCAGAGAGAGGGTAGAGGGTCTGTGGCCTCAGCTCTGAAGTCATCTGGCTCATTTGTAAAATGGAGGGTCAGCACTCGCTGGCCAGCCCGGCTCAGACAGAGGCTGAGGGTCAGGATGCCCAGAGCTGGTTCAGGTGAGTTCAGGCAGGAATGAAGCAGGTCTGCTGGGAATGGGTTGTAGTCCTGATCTCTACCTAGCCGATTATGACCTGGAGCAAGTTACCTGCTTCCCCACTGCTGAAAGTTACTTACCATTCAGACTGCTCTGCCTCTACACCTCAGGTCTTCTTCAGCCCTTACAGCACCCAGTCTTGGGGCACAAATGTGTGTGTGTATGTGTGTGTGAGAGAGACAGACAGACAGACAGACAGACAGACAGACAGAAAGAAGAGCATATGTGAGGAGTGAGATCTGGTAACAGGAGCCCTGAGCCCCAGGCTCAGAGGTGTGCCTGCCTCTGCCCAGCAACCTACACCAGGACCACCTGACCCCTCCACTAGGAGTCCTGCCCTGGCCAAGGTCCTGCTCTTCCATATCAGGTTGGAGCCTCTCCTGGGGGATTAGTAGCTGGAGGGAAAATGTATCACCCAGCAGTTAACAGCAAAGCCCAGATTCAAGCCTAGCCCTCCATACTCCTTTTACCTATTCCATACTCTGACCTCACCACAAGGTGGACACACTTCCATTGTGGCTCTGGGATGGTCCTCACCCATGAGCGGTGACATCTTCTGCATGCGAGATTCAGCCTGGTCATTCTAGCTGTGCTACATCCAGCAGCTGTGTCCCCTAGTGCCCCAGGCCCTATTGGACAAGGTGGGCACTGTCTTGCATCCTGCCCCTCCCTGCCCGGGGATGCTCCCCAGATGGACCACCACACTGGGACGGCCTGCCTCACTCGGGCTGCGGCTGCCCCGGCCTGGTCTGTGTCGTGGTCTCAACACCCCCCCCCCCCCCCCATAACCATCATCAGACTGGGAGTTGGGGAGAGCCCTCTGGGCACTGGAGGACCCATCCATGGGGAGTCTAGGCAATGTCAGTTTCCACTTTCCCACAGCCCAGGGTGCACCCCTCATGATATAAGGGACCCCCAGACCTGTTCACCTGGTGATCTACCCAGGCTGGAAGTAGCCAGGGACATTTCCCGTCTTCTCTCCCTGATCTCTCCTGGTAACCACCCTCTCTTCCCCCAGGCTGTGAGCTTTAGCAGAGGGCACCAGTGAGCTGTAAAGAGGACACAACCATGTCCAGCCTGGCCCAGGGTCCTGGCTTCTGAGCCGCCTTCTCTGTGGTGAGGGGCCCTAGCTGCCACTGGCTCCTAGCGGGGCTTCTGAGTAGCACCCACTGCCGGGTGACGCCTGGGTGGCAGCTGAGTGTATATGCTAGCTTCTTATTAGCTGGGTGGTCTCAGGAAGTTAGAGAACCTCTCTGATCTTCCTATGTGAATTGAGGATACAAGTTTCCCTGTAAGTTAAAGGAAATAAATAGCCCAGGCAAGACATACTTCTGTGTTTTCGCAAGTGAATGATAAAATCCAGGCAGGTTCACAGCCCCTGAGCTGGGCCTAACCCCTCCTTGTCACTGTGTGACATTGGACAGGTCCCTTCCCCTCTGGTCCTAGTGGCTGGGGTGGCTGGAGGCAGGGAAGTTCATGCATCCCTACTTTGAGCTAGAACACTCTGCGCACAGGACTGGCGGGTGGGGTGACTCCTGCAAGCCTTGATGAGGGCTGGACACACTCACCCCCCGAGTGAGCAAGGGCTTTCCGGCTCTGGCTTCTGTCTCAGCTGCCAAAACAATCATTTTCTCTTGGTCAGCGGCTCTGCTGACCAGGCCAGCTCGCCCTTGGGAAAGGTCTGGGCTGTTGGTGATGGGAGGCAGAAGGCTGAGTACAGTTCTTCCCCAATCCATGACCTGTTGCTCGACTCTGGGATGAGGCAGACTCTGCCCTTCCATGCCTCAGTTTCCTTTTGTGTGAAAGGGAAGCACTAAACCCAAGGGACATTTGTGTTTTCAAAGCAGTTGGAGGCTGGGCAGGGCCAGGAGGTGGCTAGAATGGACATACTCTGCCTGGCTTGAGAGTTTGGGGACCCAGGAATCTGCATTCTGTATGTACTGTGTTCTACAATCTACATCTTTCTGAGGGAGGGCTTTAATTCCCACCCCCCAAAGGGAGGAAACTGAGGCAGAGAGTTTAAGAAATGTATCCCAAGCTGGGTGCTGGTGGCTCACACCTATAATCCTAGCTACATAAGAAGCTCAGATTTGGAGACAGATTTAAAGACAGCCTGGGCAGGAAAGGCCATGAGACTCTTACAACAAAAAATAAAAATGAAAAAAGCCAGAACTGAAAGTGTGGCTCAAGTGATAGAGTGCCGGCTTTGGACAAGACAAAAAAAAAAAAAAAAAGGCTAAGGGAGAATGCCCAGGCTCTGAGTTCAAGCCCTAGTACCAGCACACATACACACGTGCACACACATACGTATTTCAGCCACACACTCACTGAGCAGGTGAAACCAGGATTTGAATGGGTTGCTTGGGTAACTGAGCTCACATCTCTAACACCAGGCCTCAGCAATGCTTTTATTTTATTTTCATTATTTTTTTGCCAGTCCTAGGACTTGAACCTAAGGCCTGGGCACTATCCCCGAGCTGCGTTTGCTCAAGGCTAGCACTCTACCACTTAAGCTACAGCACCTCTTTTGGCCTTTTCTGTTTATGTGGTACCAGGGAATCAAACCCAGGGCTTCATGAATGTATGCTAGGCAAGCACTCTACCACTAAGCCACATTCCCATCTAAAGCTAGACTGGGCTCAGCTATCTTCCCATTACCCATCAGCTGCGCATGGAGGGGCCGTCTGTGGTGGGTGTGGAGGCTGGACTGTATGTACTGGACAGAGCTTCTCCCACCATCACCCGTGTTCTCTGCTGGAAGAGGTTTACAGCTCTGCTAGTGGTACATTAAGGAAATGGGCCAGCCAGGGCCCACCAGGCTGGGTAGTCTTGCTCCTTGTACCCAGCTCCCAGCAGGTCCTGCCTGCTGCCTTAACCCACTGCCCCCTCATAGACCCTGGCACAACCCCCACCAGTCCCCTCCTGTCCCTTCCAGGACCTCCTCCCTCAGCAACCCTTGCCCTTTTCTTTCTGATAGTGTGTGTGTATGTGTGTGATTGTCCGTACTGGGGCTTGAACTCAGAGCCTGGGCACTGTCCCTTAGCTTTTTCACTCAAGACTTTGCCACTTGACCCACAGCTCTACTTCCAGCTTTTCAATGGTTAATTGGAGATAAGAGTCTCATAGGCTTTTCTGTCTGGGCCAGCTTTGAACCACAGTCTTCAGATCTTTGTCACCTGAGTAGCTAGGATGGTAGGCGTAAGCCAGTGGTGCTGGCTGAGGCATTATTTTTAGTTTTACAATGTTTTGTTCTTTGTTCATCATCTGAGTCCTCTGAAGAAGGACCACTGTGAAATGTTGAGTGAATGTGTGAATGTAGATTGCCTTTATTACTTCATTTCCTTGGATCTTTCCAGCAACCGTGAGAGAGCCCAACCACTGTGGTCAGCCTAGGGGTCCCTGTGAAACTGTCTCACCGATCATCCTTTCTCATTGCAGGATCATGGGGCTGGAGTGAGGTGACGGGCTGTGAGCTGCTGATCAGCGCGGGGGACACTGGTGACTTGCAGACCGCTGAGGTAGGTGTGCAGCTGAGCTGCCTGATGGAGTCAAGTGCTGGCTGTAGCACCCTGCGCCCTTGACTGGGGGCTCAGCCCTCATGCGTGGGAGGGTGTGCTGGCCAGCTCTGGAACCTATGTCATTATGCAAATCGATGCTTCCCCCCAGCCTTCATCCCAGGGCCTCTCTGGCTTGGCCTTGCTCTGCTTGAGTGGGGCAGAGGATGTGCCAGAACTGAGGGACAGTCCTGGTGCTGCAAGTGCAGCGGCCCTCTCCTCACGAGGTCCTCCCCGCTCGGAACCCTGTGGAGCATGGACCTCGCAGGAAGTGTGGCCTGGGTGAAAGACAACATGATCGCCGGCATGGGTCACAACCAGGCTGAGGTGGCCACTTCCGGGTGCAGATCTTGATTCTGGTATTAGTTCACTGGGACCCTGTACAGTTGGCCTGGACCTTAACCTATCAAATGGGGGAGGGGCGGTGCTCCCATGCCTCAGGGTCTTTTGTCCCAAGATGCAATGGGCCTGAGGCCAGTCCAGGAGAAAGATTATCCTTGTTTTGATGTCCAAGGCTTCTCTGTGGGGTCCCAGTAGAAGAGTTAGCTGGCTTCATGCAGGCAGGCTCTGGAACAGGAGAGCCAGGCTCCTTTCCCTTCCTGGGATGTGACCTTGAGCTGCATTGACAGCCAGGCCCTCCTCTAAGAGAAGATGCTGCTGCTGCTGACATTGCTAATGGGGCAGTAGGTGCTTAGAAGTCAAGATTTCTAAATGTCACCACTTTTTCCTTGTTTAATAATGCCGGACTGGGGCTTGAACTCAGGGCTTGATGCTATCCCTTAGCCTTATTTGCTCAAAGCTAGCACTCTACTACTTGAGCTTCACGTCTAGCTTTTTGGTGGTTCATTGGTGATAAGAGTCTCATTGATAAGAGTCTCATGATCTCTCTCTCTCTCTCTCTGGACTTAGCTTTTCTATCTGTGAAATAAGTGAAGAACAAGAGGACCAGAAAAGCATATGAGCTGGATACTTATGGTTCCTAGCCTCTCGGGAAGCTAACATCTGAGGATTGTGGTTCAAAGCCATCCTTTATGGCTTTAAACCACAGTCCTCAGATCTCAGCCTCCTGAGTAGCTATGATTACAGGTATGAGCCACCCATGCCTAGCCTAACTGCCACAGATTTTTGACCATCAACTCAATAATGCCAGTCATGAGACACCTGAAATAAGGCTTTTCTCCTCAACAGAATCCCTGGAGGAAATTGGCTTTGCCTCATGCTGAAAGGTTAAGAAACCTTTTGAGCTGCACAGAGTGGAGTGGGGATTTGAACCTAGGTCCATAGAAATGAAGCAGTACACGGTGCCTTGGCAAGCATGGGGAGGAGTGGGGAAGGTCAGGCAGCTGCTCAGGAGAGCAACTCCCTTCTTTCTTGCTCAACGTTCACACCCTGCCACTGTCTGGAGCCTGAAGCTGGCCCCAGGCTGGCACACATGCTTTCCCAAGGGTCCTGTCAGTGCCCCAACATGGCTCTAGGAACCTCCTGCTAATTGTCAGGTAACCTTTGAAGTTCTCCTTCACGGCAGCTTCTCTTTTCGGATGTTGTTCAAGGTAATTCATTCCCTTTCCAGAAATTGCCAGTGGCGGAGCATTAGGCAGCTGGTAATTAATCATAGGAGCAGCTTTGAGTTTATTCTTTTAAAAAAAAAAGTGAGGAACAGAAAGCCTTAGTGGGAAAATGTCGGAAAGGAAAAGAAAAGAAACTGCTCTGAGTTAAGGCTGGTAATCAATACTTCTGTGTCCTAGGAAAGACTGGGGTGGGGAGAGCGGCCAGGCGGCCTCTACCTTTCCCTTTCTTCCCAGGCCTGGCAGGCAGTCCCCTCCTGGGGCAGTGTGAGGCTCTGATCTTGGCCAGGCAGCTCCTGTGTGACTCAGGAAAGTCACAATTTCTCTCTGGACTTAGCTTTTCCACCTGTGAAATGGGTGAAGGACAATAAGACTAGAAAAGCATATGAGCCAGGTACTGATGGCCCCTAGTCTCTCAGGAAGCTAAGATCTGAGGATTGTGGTTCAAAGCCAGCCCAAGCAAGAAAGTCCTTAAGATTCTTATCTCCAATTAACAACCAAAAAGCTAAAGTAGAGCTGTGGCTGAAGTGGTAGAGCACTAGCCTTGAGCACAAGAGCTCAGGGACAGCATCCAGGCTCTAAGTAGACACACACACACACACACACACACACAAACGCACACGAGCACACACACACACACACACACACACACACACACACACACACAGCTAAATCCTATCATCTACAGGCCAACCTGCTGCCCTCTGGCCTGTTTATTCAGCTCCTCCCTCCTGTCTCTTTGGAAGTCCCCCAGATGGCGCCTCCACTCCTAGGTGGCTTCATGTGACCCAGATGGGACAGTGCCTGGCCCTCCCCAGAGACCTAGACCTACTGTGCTGGCCACAGGGGATGGAAGGGCCTCCTATCTTAGAGAAGGGAGTAGGGGGCCTGTGTCGTAGCAGGGACCCATGGAACCCAGGTATTTCCCAGCAGCACTACTGAAATGCCTGCTATAATTAGAAGTGAGGTGTGTGGGAACTGGCACATGAATCAATACATCAAATGTCTCTCTCCCCTGGGAGAACATAGGATGGGCTTCCAAGGACTAGCCTGCCTGGGGGTGTCAGTGATCTGCTTGCCCTCATGGGGAACTTCCTGGATCCCCGTTCTTGGAAGTGCCTACAATGCACATGGCCAACACAGCCTGGCATGGGAGCCACTGCCACCTGATTGCAGCCTCCTTTCTCGCCTCTGCCAGCACCCTGGCTGCAGTGGTGCTGCCCCTCACCAGTCTTTCCCATACTGTAACTTTTGCTCTGCAGGAGGGTGAGTGACTTCCCACCCTCTCCCTTGTCACCCCTTGCCTGACCCCTCCAACACCTGCCTTAAGCCATGTCTCCTGCATGAGGGGGACAGCCTCTTCTCTTACCGCCCCCTACCCCCACCCCTCAGGGGCCATGAGCATCTGCTCCCATCATGCCTAGGTCCAAGCCCACTCTTCCCTTGAAAGTGCTTGTCACATGGCTGCTACATCTCTTCTTAGGGGCCACGCATGGAATGATTGTATGGAGGATGCACAGAGCAGGTGGCTAACCTTCTTCTCCCATTCTACAAGTATTCCAAATCTGTATTAAGACATACATTCATCTTGGCTCCTGACTGTGAAGTGACCAGTGCAGGCTGGGAGAGTCTGGCTTGTTCCTTTTGCAGGTGGGGAAACTGAGTCTTGGAAGGGAAACATGGCCCAGAGAAATGTTAGCAGAACAATTGATCTCTCCACTCTCCTACAGTATAGAATAAGGACCTGAGGTCATGAGGGTGGACAGGGATGGCAGGGTCATGGCCAGACTCACTGACTGAACCTCACTGTATAGGGAGGCCCATAAAAAGGGCCGGGTGTGGTAGCTCATACCTGTAATCCTAGCTACTCAGGAGGCTGAGAAGTGAAGATCACAGTTCTAAGCCAGCTAAGGCAGGACAGTCCCTGAGACTCTTTGATTTGTTTGTTGTTGTTTTTCTTTTTTTGTCGGTTCTGGGGCTTGAACTCTGGACCTAGGCACTGTCCCTCAGCATTTCAGCTCAAAGCTAGCACTCTCCCACTTGAGCCACAGTGCCACTTCTGTTTTTCTGTGGTTTATTGGAGATAAGAGTCTCTTGGACTTTCTTGCCCGGGCTGGCTTTGAACCATGATCCTCAGATCTCAGCTAGGATTACAGGCATGAGCCACCAGCACCCAGCTGTCCCTGAGACTCTTATCTCCTATTAACTACCAAACAAAACAAACTCAGAAGTAGAGCTTGTACGTGCCACCGGTACAGGGGTTTGAACTCTGTTTTTAGCTTTTTGGCTCAAAGCTACCACTTGAGCCACAGATCCATTTTTGCTGATTAACTGGAGATAAAAAGCCTCATGGACTTGCCTGTCTGGGTCATATTGGAACTGAGATCCTCAGATCTCAGCCTCCTGAGTAACTGCAATTATAGGTTTGAGCCTATTATAGGTTCATTGTGCCAGTTCTTTCTGGGTGTGGCAGGTGCTGTGATAAGGAAGGTTCTAGGCTGTGTGTAAGCTCTGTGAGAAATGTCTTTTGCTACATAGCACATATCTTCCCAGATATCCAGTCCCTCTGTCTGCCCACACACGGGTTTCTCAATTCTGGGCTGTGACCACAGCAGACAGGAGGGGGGGGGGGGGAAAGGGGGAGGGAGGAGAGGGGGCAGGAAGAGGCAGTGACCACTGCCACTGAGGTCTGTCCACCCTGGCTGTTGGGTGGAGCTTTACCACAGAGAATATTCCAGACTTCCCCTAGAGCAGAACTGGAGTAAAGAGTAGAGACCCGTTGGTCCCCAAGCTCCCAGCAGTCTGCCCTCATGCCTGTCTCTTTCTGATTTGGGGACCAGCACCTCTTGCCTCCCAGCTGTTCGGGACCTTCTACCACTTCCCCAGGTGTCTTTGGGGGCCTCTTCCGGAGCCTGAGGGACCGTCTGTCTCTGCTTCATAAGCTCCATGAAATGCTCCACCTCCATCTGGCTAGTCACAGATTAGTGAATCCGCCTCCCTGAAACAGTCCTCGCTGGGTGGGACCTGAGTTCTCTTCCTGGCCCCATCCCCATCTAGACTCATCATCCAAGCTATCCATCCAGCCTCTCTCCCCATTATCTCCCGTGTGTGCACACACACACACACATACGCATTCCTCACCCAGCAGCTGCAGGGTGCCAAGGAGTGAGCCAGGAAGATTTTGATGAACTGGAACCTATAGAACATCTGGAATATTTTTCTGTGTGTAGAAGAAACACATGGAATATTCTTGCATCGTTTAGGCAGCTTGGCCTGACCCCAGCCACCCTCCAGGAAGGCTGACATTGGTCCTTCTCCCACACACATACCCATGTCTGTGTGTGGCCCCTCCAGCAGATGCTTGGACTTCTCTATTGCTGGGGGACTCCCCACAATTCT